AAAAAAAAAAAAAAAAAACCAAAAAAACCCAAACAAACGAAAGAGTTTGTTTTAAAGATTTATGTATACAGTATTCTGCCTGCATGTGTCCTTACAGGTCAGAAGAGGGCACCAGATCTCATTACAGATGGCTGTGAGCCACCATGTGGTTGCTGGGAATTGACTCAGGACCTCCAGAAGAGCATTCAGAGCTTTTAACTGCTGAGTCATCTCTCCAGCTCAAAAAAGAGGGTTTTTTGTTCTTGGAGTTTTTTTGAGACATGTTCTAGACGTGTAGCACACATGGGCCTCAACTAATGATCCTCCTGCCTCAGCCTCAGAGTAGATAGCAAACAGGTGTGTACCTCCACACCTGGCCCCCAAATGTTATTTTATAAGTTACATAAGAGCATGTGCATTTGGGCACAGTGACAGGTGATAAATGCTCCAAGCTGCATGGGAGGCTGAGAAGGTGGGTTGTTTGAGCCCAGAGTTCATGGCCTGGGCAATATAACAAAACGAGAGAGAGAGAGAGAGAGAGAGAGAGAGAGAGAGAGAGAGAGAGAGAGAGAGAATGAATGTATCTCTGGAAGACTCAGGCAGGCTCTCCTGCTTGGGAATCTCCTTTTTAAATTTTAAAAAATTTATTCTTTTTTTGTTGTTTTTATTTTGGTTTTTGAGACTGTATCTCTTGTTGCCCAGGCTAACCTTGAGCTCACTATGTAGCTAAGGATGACCCTGATCCCCCTGCCTCCACTCCCCACCTGTTGGAATAACAGGCACTGTACCTGGTTTGTGTGGTTCGTGGGTGCTGGGTAAACACCCTGCCTGCTGAGCCTAGATCCCGCAGCCCACGTCTCCGCTGATGCTGATGTTTCTCTTCATGACTCCACTAGATCAACGTGTGGAGTCTGGAAACTGCGAAGCTGGTTTTCTGCGTCCCGGGAGATGCCTCCGATCCCTGGGCCTGTGTGGCGGTGCTGGCTGCCCAGGGCATGCTGCTCACTGTGTCCAAGGGTGGCCAGGTCAGTCAGTGGGACTCAGCCACGGGGAAACTGCAGGAAAGACGGCAGTTGTCCAGCATCCAAGAGGAGATGCCCACCTGTGCCGTCTCCATCCAGACACGGGCAAAGCTGGTCGCTGGTTTCAGCAGCGGCTCCATCTCCCTGGTAAGCCATTTTCCTGCACATTGGGAGAGGGCTCAGCCACTCAAGCATAACGACCTGAGCTCAGATGTCCAGCATCCACATAATGCCAGATGTTGGGACCCAAATATGTATTCCTGCCCTGGGGAAGCAGAATCAGGAGGATCCCTAGGGTGCACAGGTCAGGCAATCTAGTGGAATCTGAGCTCCAGGTCCAGTGAGAGACCCTATTTCAAAGAATAAAGTGGAGGGGCTGGAGAGATGGCTCAGCAGTTAGGAGCACCAGCTACTCTTCCAGAGGACCCAGGTTCAATTCCCAGCACCCATATGGCAGCTCACAACTGTCTGTAACTCCAGTTTCAGGGGATCCAACACCTTCACACAGACATACATGCAGGCAAAACATGAATGTACATGAAAGAAAAATAAATAAATTATTAAAAAAAAAGAAAAAAAAAGAGCACTGGCTGCTCTTGCAGAGGACTCATGTTCAATTCCCAGCACACACATGTTAGCCAAAAAGTGTAACTCCAGTTCCAGGGTATCTGACGCCCTCTTCTGGCCTCTGTAGGCACTGCATACATGTGGTACATTAGATACATGTAGACATACACCCATACATATAAAATAAAATAAATAATTGAAAAATAAGGTGGAGTGATAGAGCAGAGACACTAAAGTTGACCTCTGACCTCCGTGCACACCTCACAAAGTGTATAGATGCCCTGGAACTGTTATGCCCTGATCACGGGGACCCCCAAAAGACCACCACAGAGACCGAATCCTGCATGTAAAAGCAAAGAGCCTTTATTTCAAGCTCTGGAGCTTGGTCCCTCTGTCTGTCTGACACAGCGGTGAGAGCAGAGCTCTGAGCTCAGGTGGGGCAGAGTTTTTATCACAGCAGAGGTTGGGGGGAGGGGATTTCCAGGGTCCAGGACCCTGATTGGCTGACAGTTGTCTAGGGGTATCTGTAAAACAAAAATAGGTGTGCGCTAGACTCAAGGACATCTGGCCACCTTATCTAATGGTTGGAATGTTTGGGATGTCAGGTACTGCCCCAACCCTGGGTGGATCCCTGGGTGGTATCAGCTTAAGACTTCTGCTGGATCTGGGTGTTGCCGGCCAGTAAGCCTGTCCCAGAAGCTGTGTCTGGGCCCTGAGCCTGTCATGGCTGCTGTGTGGTCATGCTATTTGGGGGCCCCTTCACGGAACTTGGGGAAGAACAGTGCTGCCTGGTTTCCATTCCTGTTGGTGTGATGAAACACTCTGACGGGAGCAACTTGGGGAGAAATAGGTTAGATCAGCCCTCAGTTCCGGGTTACTGCCGGTCCTGGAGGCCCAGTCAAGACAGCAGGCCCATCCACGGTCAGGGCAGTGAGCACAGAAGCCTGCGAGCAGGCAGTGGGCTCCCTCCCGGCCCCTAACAAGGTCCGGCCTTCACACGGCAGTGTTTACTGCAAGTACAAATTTATGCCATTGAGTTCCGAGGCTCCTTCAGGGGCCAAAAAAGCGTGGTAGGCTGCCCGCGCCTGCGCAGTTGCAGCCGCATCTACAGTGGTTCCTGTGCGAGGCCGTGCACCAGAAGTGATCACACACACACACACACACACACACACACACACACACACACACACACACACCCTAGAGTGTAGCCTGGGGTCACCGCTTGCCTAACAGGGAAACTGAGGCAGGGGACTGAGGAACCCTCGGTGTGACAGAGCCGCTTGGGGGAGGCTCAGCAGCGTGGTGCTCGCCTTCCTGCGCACAGGTTTCCTCTGGAGAAGACAGGCTGCTGGAGAAGCTTCCGGAAGCCGTGGGGTTCCTGGTGGTGTCTGCAGACGACTCCGTTCTGGCCGCAGGTAGCTTTGGCCGCGCGCCCGGCTCCGGGGGGTGGGGAGACACTGGTGCCTTCCCCCGGCTCCCTGCGCCCCTTCTCCCTTCCCAGCGGTGCGCACCATTCTGTCCACCTCTGTTTCATAAAATATTGTTACATTGTGTGCATGTGTGTGTGTGTGCGCATGTGTGTGTATGTGTGTATGTGTGTGTGTGCGCGTGTGTGTGTATGTGTGTATGTGTGTGTGTGCGCGTATGTGTGTATGTGTGTGTGTGCGCATGTGTGTGTATGTGTGTTCGTGCGTGCGTATGTGTGCACATGTGGAGGGCAAAACAGGACGTGTGCTGAGGAACTTTGCAGCTGCTGGGTGTTTGGGACCGCATGGCGGGACAGGAAACGCCCGCTTACAGACGTGCACCTCGCCCCTTCCAGCCCTGGCACTGGAACTCAGGCCGTCGGGCCAGGCACATCACGCAGCCCCTCTGTCTACTCTGAAATCAACATTTTTAGCTCCCACACACGAGTGAGAATGAGTCCTGTCTGTCTCCACGCCTGACCATTCCACGCAGCAAGAAGCTCATTAGCTCTGTTCATGTTCCCACAAATCATAGGATGAAAAGGATATTCCATCACCTACCACACACTGTATCCACCATACACACCTGTACTCACCATACACCATACACACCTGTACCCATCATACACCATACACACCTGTAC